TCAGGTGAAAGGAGGTCATTTCCTCAGGTCCCTGGCCTCATGCCGCCCTTCAGCATCCCCGTGCAAATCACACTCCAGGGCAGCCGGAGGCGCCAGGGGAGGTAAGTTACCTCCAGAAGCTCGGCCGGTAGTGGGAATTGGGCTGAATAAGCAATTGGAAGAAGAGGGGACATCTCGAGCTTGAGGAGTGAGTGTTTCCTTGTTCTCTGAGGATGCCCACTTGCCATGCCTCCCAGGGTACCCAGGAGGCTTCCCCAGCAGCACTCACATCACGGGGCTGCAGCCTTTCCTGTTGGCTCTGTCCTCCAGGTTGCCAGTTCTTGGAGACTGGAGACCTTTGAAACTCACCTGTGGCTCCCCAGCACTAGATCATAGCCTAGCCCATAGTTGGTGCTCAATAATTGTATCTTGGTTGAATGAGGAATGAAGAAATTACACCAGCATTCGGTCCCATTGGTGAAGCCTTGGAGTCACAGCCCTTGGATTCAAATCCAGCTCACCACTTAATCAGTCATATGATTGGGCAAGTCACTTAACTTCTGTTTGCCTCATCTCCTTATCTGTGAAATGCAGACAGTAAGAGCTCCTGCGTGCCTCAGCACAGTATACCACATCCTCTCTAAACTATACTGTTATACCACGTATATGCTCTACACCTCTCTAAACTCTAGCCTTTTAGCTATTGTTATTACCCACCCTACTCTTCTCCTTAAACGGGAAAGTAAGAGATTATCTTCAGGACCCATTTTCTCCCCAGTGAAATGCAAACCAGAGGAGCTGAAAGCCTCTAGTGAGCTGCACCCCTTTTGCCTGCCCCAGGATTGGGGCATGGGGCAGTCAACGTGGGAACCAAAATGGAGAGAAGAGTGATGCCTGAGGGTGTTGGACAAATGGGATATTAAAATCTTTTGGGCCGGGTGCGGTGGCTCACACCTGTAATCCCAGCACTTTGGGAGGCCGAGGTGAGTGGATCACCTGAGGTCAGGAGTTTGAGACCAGCCTGGCCAACATGGTGAAACCCCATCTCTACT